GTGTTAAAGTGCCCTTATACCCAGCACACAGAAGGTCAGGAGCATCCTACTGCAGTTTCTCACCCAGAGCAGACCACCAGTCACTTGCATTCAGGTTCTGCAGTCATACTTGCTGTGCTCCCTTCTCACTTCTGCAAGGTTTGCCTCCAAAACTGTTCTCTTATGGAAGTATTTTTCATTAAAAAATAAAAACCTTTAGTCTACACTCTACAGTGTCTTCACGTGGTATCAGCTTGTTCTTTTTAACCTCTCTTCTTTACCAAGTATTCTATTAAGAAGCAAACAGCAAGAAGCAAGTCTTGTCCAGCTGCAGATTAAGAACAATTCCCAACAAAAGCACACACACATACATGAGAAAACAGACCCTGAAGAAAGAAGGCCTATTCCTAGCTATGCACCCAGCAGAGGTGGCCCAGGAGTGGTCCATAGGACCCAATTAAAAACATACCAGGGTGCATAACCTGACATCAAGATTGAACATGAACAGATGCATTTCTATGCAGCTTTCTATACCTTAAAGCTTTGACAAATGGTTTATTTGCTCAGCACAAAGGGATACAGCTGAATATCAGCCCCAATCACCTCTCATAGGACAGACAGCAGACATGCAGGCAAGAAAAGAGACCTACTAAAAGCAGCTCCCAGATACCTTCTCAGCTTCAAAGAGGTTTCAAAAGTCAACCATTCTAATTTTCAAGATAGATTCTTTTATCCAGATAAGCCACAGATTTCATTCAGAGGAAGCTGACCTGAACATAAAATATTTGGAAGCTGCCTTCAGTTTTCATCTCAATAGCCCCCACACTGTGGGCCTCAGGGAGAAACAGGGCTACTTCTAAACAGATAGGAGAGGTTCCATCTCAGGCAGAGCTATGATTTCCCTGCTCTGGAAACCTAAAAATGAGTCTCAAACCTGAAACAGCCTCCCCTTGTTCTTCAATTATTCAAAATACAGTTCTTTTCAGATAGCCAGGCCTAAAAAACACTTTTATCCATGTACATGCTTTACTTGTTTATCTCTTCCTTTCCAAGATGTGAAAAAGCTAAAGACGTCAAGAAAAGCCAACACATCTCAACCGTGCCGTTCCATGAAATGCATTGCAAGTCAACAAATAATTGTTTCTTCCTAAAAAGGAAATGAGGAACAAAACCAACGAGACCACCACATTTCCCACCCTCATTCCTTTTCGTATTGCTTCTCAACTTCAATTCAGATCAGTGCGCACAAATACACTAAGCAGAAACTGTACCAATCAACTGTATGAGAAGCTGAACATCTGTAAGACAACAACCTGATTAGTAATTTTCTTGTTCACACTTTTTGCAGCTATGACCCTTAACAGAGTCTTTGAGACATCTAAATTGGCACAAGCTAGCTTTAAGCTGAAAGACTCAAAATAAACATTATGCTTCAGTGAAAGTAAACCTAAGCACTGCCTACACCTAATTAGAAGCCAGTTAAGAGCTTGAGCGATGGCAGAAGCCAGGCCCAATGAGTTTTAACATTACAATACAGGAGAGGCAGCCTACACTTGACAAAACAGTTTCCAGACATGCAAGGTCTGAAGCAAGGAAGAGCATGAGTAGCTAACCCATCATTCCAACTCAGACCTAAAGCTCTGATGCTTTCTTCATTTTCCCCCTTTATCGAGGTGCAGCCCAGTGAGATAAAACAGATACGAGCTATGATCCAAGTGTCAAGAACAATTCCCCCTAAGCAAAGCTGTTAAGTTTCTAACCTGACATGTTTCAACTAGGATTTCAGTGCACTAACAAGCTCAGCTTTGAGAAAAAGAACAAATAAGGGTTATTGAAAGAGACACATTTGTTAATTTAACCAAGGGGAGCACAAGTTCACTGCCACCCATTGCTTTGCCTCTCTGCTGACTTTTCCTTCCTAGAACTGGAAAAAGAAGCATAGATGAGAGGAAATGATTCACGTAAGCAGCTGGAAAGGCAAGACAGTAGGAGATTTCCTAAATGAATACAATTTACTGCAGGAACTACAGTCACGTTTGCCATTTCAAAGCTATTCCAGTGTTTCTAGGTCCTTAAATTTCCATTAGGATCACTGCTTTAATTGCATTGCAGAGCTACAGCACGGAACCCCACAAGTCAGATGAAGATCAGACGGCTGCAGAGTCCCACAGACAAACACTGGATAAATACTTCCAGGGTTTGGTGATGAGCTGGAAACCTTCTGACCTCCCAGAGCTCTTCGTCCTTGGTGATCTCAGGAGACCTACAATTAATTAAACAATTAAAACACGAAAGCCTCATCCACAAGTCTACAGTTCATTACACTGTAGCACAGTTGTGAGCACAGTCCTTCAAACAAGCTGGGAGGGTCAACTGCATTCCCAGAAGCATAGTTGTAGGACTATACATAACCAGGCAGTTGCTTAGACTCTAAGCTCACCTAAAAACTGATCCTGAAAGCCAGCCACACAAGTGTGCTGTTAGGAGCCTGCCCAATTTAATGTGCATTTCAAACACTATATCAAGGCTGCTACAATAGGCAAGGCCAATAAGCACTGCTGCATGGATTTCAGACATTATTAGTCATGCATCCCTACAGAACTACACAGCAATTCAAGCATATGCAACGGCAGACTGCAAATGTCTTAACTAATAACCAAGATCTGCCACTAAGCCAACCAGAACCCAGAATGTTCATTTTTAGAAAAGAAGCAAACAAGAAACATTTCGCCATTTCACTTTGAAGGATGTGAATAATGGTTTGTTTCCTCCTCCAGATTTCACACACGTGCCCCAAATGCTCTTCACACTGCCCAAGGCCTCACTTTTCCAGCAAAAACAAACAAACAAACAAACCATCACCACCCTTTGGCAGCCCATCACCAAGACAGCCTGCAACCTGGATAATAGGGATTAAGGCAGCTATCAAGCTTGGGGTGGTTTTCCTCATCAACGAGGGAGGATTCCAGCACCATTTGGGTGGGTTGTTTTTTTTTTCCTACTTGAAGAAATACAGTTTTTTCACAATTGAAATATGTATATATAGCAGATACCCAGACAGCTCAACCATGTCTTCCCTTACTGATCAAGGGCTGAAAAAGACAACTGCAGGAACAGGATGTCTCGTATCAAGAGACGTCAGCTGCAGAGCATCACATCAGCGTGTGCTGCAACAGAGCAAAACTCAGAGCTGCAGCAGTGATTTTCAAAGCTCCAGTCTGTTTATCCTTGGCTGATGGCATCCAGAAGAGACAGCAGAAGCCATCACACAAAGCATTCAGTGGGAAATTTATGGAAAGGAAGCAAGAATGGCCACAGTGCCATTGCTGGTGGTCACCCAGATCAACATGAGATTTCAGAGCAGGAAGCCTCATCTTTCATCCAGCACCTCATGAAACCCAGAAAAGCTCAGCTACTCCCAGGTGAAGCTGCACCCCACAGGAGCTGCCCCCAAAGGTCCAGCTGTCTGTTGGGGTCAATGTTTCCCACCCAGATTTTCCCAGCAGAAAAGGAAGCTCTTTGACATTTGCCAACAACAGAACTCCAC